ACATGTGAAAGCTTCAGGAGGTTATCAGATGTGAAGCTTGATATAAAATAAATGGCTACATTGTCAGATTCATTTCATCCGCCAGTTTCAGGCTAAGATGGCGGCTGACAAAGAGAAGCAAACCGCACGCCAATGGTGTGCGTTATCTCACCGCATAGCCGCCATTTTCACCGCCAACATCCTCCGCATGTAAAGGTTCCATCATATTAATATTTCCTAATCATCATCATCATCCACACAAAATTACTTTGTTACACTTTTATTTTTTAAAGATTTCTGCGAAACGGTCACAATAAAACTGCGTCCGGCCCGCTTCCGCCCCGCGAATTCCCTTCCTTAATAGTCCAGCCGGGACCCCCTTCCAGACAATGCGGCGATATATCGGCGCGGCGACACAACACAAATAGGCTCGTTCCTCGCTGCGTTTAAGTAAACACGGCCCGGGAGCGAGCGGCGAGGAAAGAAAAATAATGCGGGCCTCGCTCGAGGAACGTTATCAGCCCGAGGAGGTATACATTTCATGGAGAGCTGCTGAGGAAATAGGAGTGAGTTTCCTTCCTCCTCCTCTGAGTGACCGGTCTCGTTTTAAGACGCGGCCTTTTGAAAGAAAACATATTTGAGGAAATATCTGAACAATGACAAGCCGCCGCGGCCAAGAATGACTAATCCGCATTGTTTATGTAGTATGAAACGCCATGATTAATGTGGCCCTTCCCTGCAAACTGGCCCTTTAACCCTTTCATCTCACTAAGACTTGATTCATCCATTGATCCCCCCCCCATCTGTCTGCTATCATCTTCTACAGCCTTGGTTCTCAACTGGTGGGTCGCGACGCCATGTTCAGTGGGTCACCACTTTTCTAGGTGGGACACTCCTCAGCCTCCCCCTAGCGCAGCACTGTCAGCTTGAGGTGGGGTGGGCTGGAAGTATGGCCATGAGGGCTTGTTCACACCAAGCGCGTTCCAAGAGCAGAGACAGACCGGATCAAAAACTGCGTCCAATGTATTCCAATGGTATTTTGGGCTCTAGTTCACACCGCAGCGTTCAGTTACAGAGCACGTAAAAAAAACAACTGCAGCAAGCCCTATTTTACCTGCTCTGGAACGCATGGTGTGAACAAGCCCTAAGGGAGCTCCATCCATACGTGCGTTGCTTACAGCTCCCACATGTGCCTGGACTGGACTCACGTCACATTCTGGCTCCCGACACCTCTACAAGGGAGCTGTACAAGCAACGCACATATGGATGGAGCTTCATCACAGCACAGCAGCCCAAACTGGACCCCAGGCTGAGGATGCACTCCAGTTCTCGTAAGGTAGGGAGACTGGGTGGATCTTAAAAACAATGATAATTTTTTTGGAGTGTGTATGTGTGTGTGAGATTGTATCTGTCGGTGTTTTTGAGGGTCCGTTCACAGTAGTACAGTGCGTTATTCGCGATTAAAGCACTGCACCACGCAATCGGTGTGCTGCGTTGCCATTCATTTGAATGACACCCCAAAACGCACAGCTCACAGTCCGATCGCCCGCACCCGAACGCCCAGCGCTGCAATGCCATGCGTTCCATTGCAGTGCAGACTTGGGTCGCGACTTAACGACCAAGGACAAATGTGGCTCCTGAGGTTACACAGGTTCAGAACCGCTGCTCTACAGGATCCGCAAGATACTTACGCTGAAGTTGTTTTCTACAGAATCTGGAAGACAAAAGCACAAAAGAGTCAATTATTTATTTACATATTCTGTTATGTTTTATTAGCTTCAAAATAGTATCAATGTTAGAGGATTAGGCGTACATAAGACGAAGATAGACAAAGATAAGAACAAGGGATACAAAGATAACAATAAGATACAAAGATAACAATAAGATACAAAGTTATATGAAGTAATACAAAGATAAGAAGAAGGGATATTAAGATATACAAACATAAGAATAAGATACAAAGATAAGAAGAAGATATACAAACATACAGTATATGATAATATACAAAGATATACATACATACATACATGAAGATATACAAAGATAAGAATGAGATACTTTATTGTCATTGTATACAAGACGCAGGAGATTCAGTTCAGCACCAGCCCACTCCACAGATATACAAAGATATACAATGTTTCCTGTTATGATACACTATAGTCCATGTTTATAAAACAGAAATAGGTCTCCTTCACACCGGGGGGGGGGGGGGGGGGGCGTTCCGTTGTGTTTTTTCCCTGCACTGAAACGCGTGCAAATCAAAATCCTCTGTATCCCTATGGGGGCCGTTCACACAAGCGCGCTGAATCGCGCATAACAACACGCTCGCTGTTTAAAATAGTCCAGGAGCTTCTATTGTGGCGCTTATCAGCTTGCTTTGCTCTATAGACTGCAATGGACGTGCGCCGATCAGCATTTTTCACGCTTTTTGTTAGCGTGTTTTTGCAGCCGCGGCTGCTTTTCAGCGGGCAACTGAGAACGTGCTGAAAACACGCCTTAAAACGCTCTTACATATGAACAGAAGTTGCCTGAAAAACGCACTTAAAGACGTACAAAAAAAAGAGCGAAAAATGTGCTAAAACGCTGTCGCCCTGGTGTGAATGGGGAGTAAGGGTGATATGATACTGGAAGATATTTTCCTGCGCACGGCTGTCAGTAGGTTCACCAACGCACGCACTACTTTTTATCGCCACATGGCAACGTAATGCAGGTTTTTGCAGTTCTGCAGCGCCGCAACAAACGCCTGCTGGGAGATACGTTGGGGTGCCATTGAGAATGAATGGCAGCACAACGCACCAATGCACTTAGCGTGCGGTACAATGCGCTGTGTGATAGTGTGCACCAAACGTACGGATCCCACGTGTTTGGCGCAATGCTATGGTGTGAAAGGGCCCATAAAGGCCCCTCTAGGCAACTACATAGCAAATTCAGGAAAAACGAGGAAACAGGGCAACACGTGCAAAAGGGAAACTATGGAACGCAAAATAAAACGGACTCATCACTTGAAAAAAAAACAACATTTTTATTTAGCTGAATAAGACCAATCACCCTAATCCCTATAATCCCTATAACCAATGACAATCCTGGAGAGCTCATCAGTTTGCACCGATCTGGGGAAGACGCAGGAATGCTGCTGATCCCTGCACTGGCTTCCATCCCCCCCTCTGCCGATCCCTGCACTGGCTTCCACTCGCCCAAAGGATAACATTCAGAATATTAACAATCACTTACAAAGCTCCACAACTCCACCCCCCCGGATATATCTCCAACCTCGTCTGAAAGTATCACCCTAACCGCCCCCTCTGCTCCTCCCAAGACCTCCTGCTTTCCAGCTCCCTCGTCAACTCCTCCCATACTCGCCTCCAGGACTTCTCTAGAGTCTCTCCCATTCTATGGAACTCTTTACCCCAACATGTCTGTCTATCGCCCACTCTGACTGCCTTTAGGCGATCCCTAAAGACTCATCTCTTCAGGGAAGCCGATCCCACCTCAACCTGACCGCTCAACCATCACGTTCTCTTACAATTCATCCCTACACAGCTCCCTCCTCATGTATCACTGGCCCCTCCCCTTTTAGATTGTAAGCCCTCAGGGGCGGGGCCCTCCTTACCATCTTGTCTTGTATTGTATTGTGATTGTAATGTCTTCCTTATAGTGTAAAGCGCTGCGCACACTGTTGGCGCTCTATACATCCTATATAATAATAATAATCTATAAATGTAACACAGAACACACATCCAATGCTCCTGGTACACCTTCTGGGGTTTTATCTTTACCTTATACCTGCCGTGTCTTATAACTGATCGGTCTATACATCACCTATATCAGTATTGATTTGTCGCAGGGATCCTTGATGAGCTCCGAGGGATTTTGTATTGATTTTAGGGTTCAGGGTGATATGTCTACTGTTTGCATACAAGCCGTGCGTCCAAACTTCTCCCTTATAAGGGATTGGGGTGCTCTGAGTCAGTGTGCTCCCCTGGGCCAGCATGCAAGGCGATGCGGTTCTCGCTTTGGGTCGATAAGATGGCAAATCCACGTATACATGACATATATGGAAGGATAAAATGTTACTTTTTATTTTGACCTAATAAACATGTTTCAGGAAATTCTTAGATCTAGAGATGCACCTAATGGAGGGGGGGGGGGGGGGGGGGGGGAAAAAAACGCGGTTGAATTCCCCT